TCTGATAGTAGCAGGGTCCAAGAAGCAGCCTCCGCAGGCTCCGCAGCCCTGAGCCAGGGCGGTTCCGGGACGGTTCCGGGAGCCGGAACTCGGCCGCCCTGCGCTCGGTGTTCACTCCGATAAGATCAGATTTTAAGAAGCACCCAGGCGCTGAACCCTAGCAATCTGTCTGCAAGCCGCAGGCGAATTGCAGCCTGAAATTACCTGTTCTATGGCTGAATGAGCTGCGGTCAGTCGAAAACAGGTATGGTGACGTCAGTTTACCAACATGGTGGCTGCTGGCCTCCTCTGTGGTCTGACCGGTGTGGAGAACTGAGATGGACCGCTTCCTTCCCCCATCTCGAACCCAGAATTCAGCCCTGAGTGCGGTGCTTGCGCGGCTGGCAGAAACTGCAGCACTGTAACCCTGCGTCTCTATCCCAGCGCGCGCTGCAGACTCTAGCTGCGGGGCGATTTGCTGAATAAGCAGTTTTACCCTCCGTGCGACAAACCTCTCGCGTTTGAGTCCCCGTAGCCGATCCTCGTGCGATGGAAATCCTTCCTCCAGGTTCCGGCGCACCCCACTATTGCTGGAAATTCCTAACAAGATATCCTTTAGCCGTCCTGACTTGTCATACTCCCACACAGTGAAGCAGCACACGGGGGTAATGCACTCCCCTCGCCTCCATCTTCCTTCTGCTCCTTATTAAACAATTTTTACTCTGATCTTTTTCATCCTTAAATCTTGACTACTGGATTTTAAATTATAAGAGAGTAAAATATACCTCCTCTCATATCACAGGCACTATATATATAATGCCAGATTAATTATATATTAAAATATAACATATAAAATACTAAATGTTTTAAAGAACATATTTATATAACTTTGTGAAGAGAAATGGAAAACAAAAAATATGAGATAAACCAAAACCTGAAAAATTAAATGATATTGTACTTAAAATTTTTATGTGAAAAAATTTATGAAAAAGAGTTGAAAGAGACATGAATTGTATTACAGGTCATTTTTGTTTATTTTTGACATTTAACTTGACTTGGTTCCTCCTTTGGTTGGCTTTTTCTTTATTTTAGTTCTTCCCTTTGCAGATTTTCATCATTGTTTTTAATTTCCTCCTCATGGAATATTTTTGCCTGCAATGTTCTGTAGTGCAGGCTTTCTTGCTGTAAATTCTTTTAGCTTTTTTTTTTTATCATAGAACGTTTTATTTCATCATCAAATTTGAAGCTTAATTTTGGTGGATATAAGATTCTTGGTTGGTATCCATTATCTTTTAGAACTTGGTATATGTTGTTCCAGGATCTCCTAGCTTTAAGAGTCTGAGTTGAAAAATCTGCTGAGATCCAAATTGGTCTTCCTTTATAGGTAATGTGATTTTTCTCTCTTGCAGCCTTTAAAATTCTAACCTTTTTCTGTATGCTAGGCATTTTCATTATAATGTGTCTTGTTGTAGATATGTTGTAATTTTACACATTTGGTGTCCTATAGGCCTCTTTTATTCAATTTTCCAGTTTATTCTTCATGCTTGGGAAATTTTCTGCTATTATTTCATTTAAGAAATTGTGCATTCCTTTGTTTTGAATCTCTGAACCTTCCTCTATCCCAGGAAATCTTAAATTTGGTCTTTTGATGGTATCCCATAGTTCTTGGATATTCTGTTCATGGTTTCTTACTATCTTCACTGTGAGGTCAACTGTATTTTCAAGATTGTATATTTTTTCTTCATTGTCTGAGGTCCTCATTTCCAAGTGATCTAGTCTATTGGTGATGCTATCAAGTTTTTTAATTAGCTTATTGTTTCTTTCATTTTGAGGATTTATATTTTTTTTCAGTATCTTTATCTCTTTCTTGAAGTAATCTCTTGCAACTTATATTTCTCTCTCATCTCTTTGTTGGACTGATCGAGTTTTGCCTGTATTTGCTCACTTAGGTTGTTCTTTAATTCCCAGATCATTTTAGTTATGTATATTCCAAACACCTTCTCTGATACATCATCTATGGTGCTATCTATGGATACTATTGTTGTGGTATCTTGGTTTGTTTGGGGCACTTTCCTCCCTTGTTTTTTTTATGATGTCTATGTGTCTTCCTCTCTTGATGTGTAGATCTGAGGTACGACAGCTTCTTCCCTATTGTCTTATAGTGTTCCTATAAGTTACCAATACCTCACCTTTAAGGGGGAGATCAATATTACAGCACTTAATGTACCCAATGTGCAGCCATAGATCAGTTAGCTTCTATTTTTATATTTACAGTTTTGTCACTATAATCAGAAATGATGAGTTTGGTTATCTTCTACCATATAGTCAATAGGTTTCTGTAATGGTTTACAGTTTCTAGGTAGAAGAGAGGGTGGGGCTTGGCTGAGATGTTTATGAGGTAGGATGTGAGAGAATGGAGGTATTAGATTATATGACTAATGAGAGGGTAATCATTAGTAGGAGAAACAAGAGATAGGGAACCCCATGCAAGACTCCCTGTCACCTCAGCAACAGGATAACTGTTATCACCCCTAGTAGAGATTCCTTTGGTGCAGCCAGGACCACAGGAACCTTGGTGATGTCTTACCAAGTCTTTATTGTTGTCTCTTGATAGAAGCTGCGATATCTCAGTTTTGTGGTGGTGGCAGCCTCAAGCCTATACGTACCCTGATGTTGGGCTTTGGAACCATGCTTTGGTGAATAAGGAACCACAGCACAAGGTGCCTTACTACGTATCTCTGGGCCTGGGACAGGCCTCTCCTCTGGATCTTTGGGCCTCAGTGTGGAGGTCGGGCCTTTCCTCCAGATCTGGCCGTGCTGTGACCTGCACACTTTGGTTACTGTAGTTTGAGCAGATTTTGAAATTACGAAGTGTTATGCTTCTTCTTTTTTCTTCTTCTTTCATTGTTGAGTGTCTTGCAATTCCATGTGAACATTAGAAGAATACCTCTTCTTTTTGTATAAAAATGTCTTTGGTATTTGGAAAGTGATTGAACTGACTTCATGGTTAATGTTTGGGGAGATTTACAATTCTGTATGCTGGCAAATACCAGTTATCATTAAAATGCATCACTTCCTTCAGAAGTATTTTTTAGTTTTTGTTGTGTAAGACTTTGCAGATAGTTTATAACCATTTTTATGTGGCTTTCACCTTCAGTCCCCCTCCTGGCTATTTTCCATTTTAGTTGTGCTTTTATGCATCTCACAATGTGCTGTGGTGCTCTGATGTCCCATGGATTACAGGTTTCTCCTCCACTCATTCTCATTGTTAATTCCACATAATTTTAATACTTTGAATTTCCCATTCTTCTTCCTTAAAACTATTCTTATGTAAGAATGTTTTCCCTTTTTTCTAGCAAAAAAATTGTTTTAATTTTATTTTCACAGCAGAATCTAATATCAATTAATGTTTGCCCATGGAATTGAGGAAAACAATGTATTTTTTCAATTAGATACCAGTTTGTCTTGACTCATTTTTTTTTTTTTTTTTTTTTTTTGGTGCCTGATATTGACCTCAGGGGCACTCGATTACTGAGTCATATCTCCAGCCCTATATTGTATTTTATTTAGAGACAGGGCCTCACTGAGTTGCTTAGCACCTTGCTTTTTTTGAAGGCGGCTTTGAATTTATGATCTTCCTGCCTCAGCCTGCCGAGACTCTGGGATTATAGGCATGTGCCTCAGAGCCCAGCCTTGACTCATACTTTAACTTGCATGTGAATGTTTCCACTTCTCCACAATACTTTCTATCTCTTTAGTCAATTTCCATATGAATTTGAAATTTTCTTTTCTCTTGGTCTGTCTCTTGGTTCATCTTTCTGCTAATCTTATGCTGTGTTTAATAGTATAATTTAAAAGTTTCTTATTTATAGTCAGGTGTCACTTAACATTCTGGGTGTTCTTCTTTAGGCTGCCTCATGACTGCACAGACACCACAGTGTATTTACAGAGTCCTAAAAGGAACAGCCTATTACATCCCTAGACTCTGTTGTTTCAGGGCTTCCTAGGTTACAGCCTTGCACAGCATTAGACTTTACAAGATACCAAAGGTGATCATGCAGTAGGTGTTTTTGTACAATCATTCCTACAAACACATTGCTTTTTTCTTTACTACTGATAACCATGTGTATGTAGTCCATTATTAACCAAAAATGTCTTTGACCAAAACATTGTTATGTGGTAGATGACTGTATATTATATAAACCAAAGGTCTGCTCTCTAGAACATATTGATAGGTATTACTTTTTTAAAAACTTTTTATTGTTCTTGGACAAATATTTTCTCTTGATGAAGCACCTGCAAATTCTACTTGATTTTCTTGGTGTTATCACACAGGATAAGCTTAATCCCTAGTTTCTATGTTTTGACCACTTCAATTAAATGTTGTCTACTAGGGAAGCTCTGAGATTCTTTGTTCAGAGGGTTCTTTTTCTTTTTGAGGGGTTGGGGGACTTTAATCCTTGAAGTTCTAATTTAAGAGTAGAAGAAAATAACAGGATATCTGAAGGTAAGCAAACATTCATTAAGTCCTATGTACTCTCTAAAGCACTCTGACTCAGTGTAAATGCTTAGTTTGGTATGATCCTTCCCAAATTCTTAGCTCCCCCTACCCACTAAAGTACCACTTTGTCAGTAGGCATTTTTCAGAATAGGTACTGTCAGGAGGACTAATATTAGTTCTCTTCTGCACATGAGTTAGTAGGGCTTTATTATTCCATGTATTAGACATGCACCCTAGAAAGACCTTAGGGGTGACCCAGGAGCGTGCCTTATTCCTTGGACTCCACAAGGAGAAGGGTGTTTTTGCTCTGCTGCTACATTTCTAGATAGAAAAGTAGCTATTACATTGGAATGCTTGTTTGGGAAGTGAGTGCAGATATAGAGTACAAGTTTCAAAAACCATATCAAGAAATAAATATATGGAGACCACAGAAATGTGAGAACATCTCACATGTTGAGAATAGAGCCCTCATGTTGTCAGTCTCTCCTGGTCTGCATTACATGTTTGTGGCATATTTTAGACCTTAGTGGCCTTTGAGGATGTGGCTGTGAACTTCACCCAGGAGGAGTGGGCTCTGCTTGATCTTTCCCAGAAGAATCTCCACAGAGATGTGATGCAGGAAGTACTTAGAAACCTGGCTTCTATAGGTAAGAATGACGTTTCATTACATAATGAAAGACAGAACACCTGGGAGGTATACTTTGCTCATGCATGTGGAATGTGGAAAAGGGAGTAACTGGGGAATAAATTGGGCCCAATGTTATTGCACTCAGCAGCATGAATATCATAATTCTGTCTTTTTTCTTTTTTCCATCTTTTTTATTAGTGCATGATAGTTGTCCAAATTGTAAATCTCAAAATGCATTCTAAAATCACGATGATCCATAATGACTGTTCTGGGTCTACATTTTAGGAGACAGATGGGAAGACCAAAATGTTGAAGATCAGAACACAAATCCTGGGAGAGATGTAAGGTAATTTGTACTCATAAGAGGAATCAGAGCCCTGAGGGAATTCTAGCTTTTCCTATAATTTTACAAACAAAGAAAACAAGCATGATATGAATAATGTTTATTCTTTTTTTTTTTTTTTTTACCAAAATTAACCTTAATGTAAAAGACATGTTTAGTGTTTTCAAAATAATTGACTTGTTGACTGTGCTAGCAACCTGTATTTAATAGCACTGCTTCATTAGCAGCTGTGGAGGAGCAGTTTTGCAAAGTAATTGTTACATTGACTTTCAAACAGAATACAGTGTAGACATGACAGAAAACCAGTACTTTCCCTGACATGGGTAATAGTGTAAGTCCAATGCCTGTTAATAAATGTAAGAGTATTAATGAGCCAGCCATAAACTGTGCTTGTAATTTTTATACAGAAATCATATGGTAGGCTCTGGAACAAATTTGAAAGGTGCTCAGTTTGGAAAAAAACCCTCAGTGAGATTCTATATCTTAGGGGTTTTTTTTTTGGGTACTCATGATTGAACCTCTGGGGCACTTGACAACTGAGCCACATCCCCATCCCTATTTTTGTGTTTTTATTTAGAGACAGGGTCTCACTGAGCTGCTTAGCACCTTGTTTTTTGCTGAAGCTGGATTTGAACTCGAGATCCTTCTGCCTCAGTCTCCTCAGTCACTTGGATTACAGGGGTGAACCACCGTGCCTGGCTCCAAATCTTAGTCTTAAAGGATATTTCTGGTAGAAAGTTTATGTGAAAGCAATATGTGTGGACAGATCTACATATATTATGTTTTCCTTAATAGGCATATCATATCTCACTGTGCAAACAAATCATATAAGAATGAGGAGTGTGGAGGGAAGCCATATGAAGTTAAACAGAACAGGAAATCCTTCATTTCTCTCACAAGTGTTCAAAGACAAGTGTCAGTGCATGATGTCAATGGACTTTATGGATATTTGACGTGCAGAAAAGAGTTCAATTGTTTCAGGAGTTTTGAAAAATGTGGACAATCTCATACTGGGGAGAAGATATATGGAAGTAAGCAACCTGGGGAAGACTTAACTTGTTCCAGTTCCCTTCGAAAGTATAATAGAACACATACTGGAGAGAATCCTTACCAATGTGAAAAGTGTGGGAAAGCCTTTGCTAGATCCAGTCACCTTTGTTCACATAAAAAATCTCATACTCTAAAGAAGCCCTATGAATGTAAACAATGTGGAAAAACCTTCCCCTGGCCTTCTTCCCTTCAAGTACATGAACGAACTCATACTGGAGAGAAGCCTTTTAAATGTAAACAATGTGGGAAAGCCTTTGCTAGATCCAGTCACCTTCGTGCACATGAAGAAACTCATTCTGCAGAGAAGCCCTATGAATGTAAACAGTGTGGGAAAGCCTTTGCTACATCCAGTCGCCTTCGTGCACATGAAAAAACTCATACGGTAAAGAAGCCCTATGAATGCAAAGAATGTGGAAAAGCCTTCGCTTGGCCGTCTTCCCTTCAAATACATAAACGAACTCATACTGGAGAGAAGCCTTTTAAATGTAAACAATGTGGGAAAGCGTTTGCTACATCCCGTCACCTTCCCTCACATGAAGAAACTCATACTGCAGAGAAGCCCTATGAATGTAAACAGTGTGGGAAAGCCTTTGCTGCATCCAGTCATCTTCATGCACATGAAAAAACTCATACTATTAAGAAACCCTATGAATGCAAACAATGTGGAAAAGCCTTCCGCTGGCCCTATTCCCTTCAAATACATAAACGAACGCATACTGGAGAGAAGCCCTATAAATGTAAAAAATGTGGGAAAGCCTTTGGTAGATCTAGTTACCTTCGCTCACATGAAGAAACTCATACTGTAGAGAAGCCCTATGAATGTAAACAATGTGGGAAAGCCTTTGCTACATCCAGTCACCTTCACTCACATGAAAAATATCATAGTATAAAGAAGCCCTATGAATGCAAACAATGTGGGAAAGCCTTCCCCTGGCCCTCTTCCCTTCAAATACATGAACGAACTCATACTGGAGAGAAGCCTTTTAAATGTAAACAATGTGGGAAAGCCTTTAGTTGTTCCACTTATCTTCATGTGCATGAACAGACTCACATTGGAGTGAAGCCCTATAAATGTAAATAATGTTTAAAAGCCTTCACTTCTTCCTCTTCCCTTCAAATACATAAACAAACTCATATTGGAGAGAAGCCCTATGAATGTAAACAATGTGGAAAAGCCTTCCCCTGGCCCTTTTTCCCTTCAAACGTGAACAAACTCATATAAATGTATACAAATATAAATAAATTTAAACAAAGCCTTTATTTTACCCCTATCTTCATGTGCATGAACAGATTTACATTAGAAAGAAGCCTTATGAATTAAACAACGTGGGAACACCTTCACCTGGTCCTCTCACCTTCAAATACGTAAACACTCATACTGGAGAGAAGCCCTATCAGGGTAAACAATGTGGGAAAGACTTTGCATCATCCAGTTACCTTCACTCACATGAAATAACTCATACTGTAAGGAAGCCCTATGAATGTAAACAATGTGGGAAAGACTTTGTATTAAGCTCTCAGCTTCACAAACATAAAAGAACTCATATAAGAAAGAAGCCCTATGAATGTAAACAACCTTGAAGAGGTTTGGCTATATTCAGTCAGCTTCACTCACATGAATGAACTTATATAGGAAATGAGACCTATGAATGTAAACAAAGTGAGAAAGCCTTCACTAGGTCCTCTTAACCTTCAAATACATAATTAAACTCATACTGGAGAGAAGCCCTATGAATTTAAGCAGTGTGGCAAAGCCTTCACGCAGTCCATTCCACTTCATCCACATGAACGAATTCATACAGGAAAGAATGTTATGAATGTAAACAACATGGGAAAGGCTTTGCTTCATTTGATGGCTTTTAGTCCCATGAAAAAACTGATACTGGAGAGAAGCCTCATGTATGTAAGCATTGTGGTCACACTTAGTTTTACCATTCATCTTCACATGCATGAACAGACTTACCCTGGAGAGAAGCTCTATGAAGATAAATAATGTATTAAAATTTTCATATTTTCTCCCTTTTCCTAAAATATAAGTGAACAATCTCATAGAGGAGAAAGACCCTATGACGTAAGTGTTGTGGTAACAACTTCAATAGTTTGGCTTCTTCAAATACATAAGAAAACTCATAATGGGAAAAAACATTATGAATGTATACAAGGAAAGCCTTTACTTCTTCCTGTGGGTTTTACATACATATATTTATTCTAAAGAAGAGTCATTTGAATGTAAACAGTAGGGCAAAACATTTACAAGTTGTGATTGTCTTCATGTACATGAAATAAATCATACTGGAGAGAGGCCTCTTGAATATAAACAGTGTGGTACACCCTTTGCTTATTCCAATTCAGTTTGAAAACACCAGAGAACTCATACTGCAGAGAGCCTGTATGAATGTAAACAGTCTGGAAAAGTTTAGTACTTCCACTCACCTTCAAGAACAGATGCACTTATACTGCTGAGCAAGTATAATGTAAGCAATGCCGGAAAGGTTTCACTTATTGTTATCAGCTTTAAATCATAAATTCATACTGGATAGAAGTATTATGGCTGTCAAAATGTGTGAAAGCCTTTAATTGATCTTTCTACCTTCAAATACAAGAACAAACACACTGGTGAGTGTTATGGTTTGAGTCTAATCAATATAGATTATAGATTGTAGATATAAGATATTGATAAGCAGAATAAATAAGATAAAAAAATAAGTACTATGGGATAAATAATGTTAAATTGCCCTGTAATAAGTTAGAAGTAAGCATAGAACATAAGTTCATTAGGAGTAAGCCTAAGTAATAGTAGTAAATCATGTAATTGTAAGATTTAGGATTTAAGCTACAGGAAATAAAATATAGAACAGTGTGAGGTGATAAATCAGTAGGCCAGTAGAGTTATAGATAAACAGATATAGATAAGGTTAAATCAATATAGCCATAGACAAATATAGATTGGTATAGCCATAATGACTCAATTTTTATAACTCCTCTATGAACTCTCATATAAGTTATTTTTAAGATGCTAAAAAAAAAAAATTTTGTTTTTCTGTACTTGAGCACAGGATGTAAACCCATAAATGTTCTCGAACCCAGGATGTAGTTGTCTGTTTTTGCTCCCTGCTTTCTCAGCACTTGTATCCTGCTTGCTTACAACTTGCAGATTCTGTAGGATGTGGTTTTCTTCCTTAAATACTCTGGCCATAGACAATTTGAAGCTGTTCTCCCATAGGGTTGCTTGGACTCTGTTAGGGGTCTCTGGCCAGATAATAAAGACTCTCAAATTTTCTTTAAGTTTGGACTTAGAGAGTTTTCTGAGTGATCATCCCATAACAGTGAGAAGCCCTTTGAATATAAACAAGGTAGTGAAAACTTCATATGCTGCAGTTACATTCAAAATCAAGAAGTAACTCATATTAGAATAATGCTATACTAATATAAAGAATCAGAAAAGTGGTGCAGTTCCCTAATAAGCCTTAAAGAAATGGTAATGTAGAAATGCACTTTGCATGCAAAAATTGTGGCAAATTTTTCAGTTTCCCTAGTCATCTTCAAATACATGAAAGGATTCACATGACAGAAACTCTGAACATTAAAACATGGTAAGTCAGTTTCCCCACTTGCTTTCAAAGCCATTTCACTCACAGTAGGGAGAAAACCTTCTAAATGTGTGATATTTACTTCCTATACATGAAAGGTAATGGAACAAAGAAATGTGTGTAAGTGTCCAATTTTTCCAATTCTTTTGAAGAACATAAAACAATTTGCACAGGGTGAGAAATTCTGAAAAAGAAATCGGATACAGTCTTCACATGTTCCAGTTTGATTTATGTGTCAGACTGGATTTCCACTGAATTGACAATAATAGTAGAGAAAAATCAACCTCAGGGAGGGAAGATTTATTTTGTCCATGACTGGCTGACTGCCTTGCTTTAGGCCTGAGGTGGAGCAGAACATAATGTGGAATGGTGTAGGAGGGTAGACCTACTTACCTCATGGCAGCTGCGGAGGAGGGTGAGAGTGAACCAAGCCCATCCCTAGTTGTCTTACAGGTTTGGATTATGCAGAGTGCAGCTGTGGCCTTTCTATTTTCTGTGTGTCTGCTTCCCTTGATACTGTAGTGTGCAGCCTTGATGGGGTTTATATCCTTGGTGCCTGATGGTACAGGTACTGATTGGTAAAGGAAGAGGAAACAATGGTGTTTGCTTCCAATAAAGCATGGGAGAGGCTACCCCCAGTGTTCTGAGGGCAAACTCCTTTGTCAGTGTGGGTTTCCTTGGCACTGCTGTTTGCCATCATTTCAGAAGTCGGATGAGAAAAAGTTTTGATGTCCTTGGAGAAAATGACACTGCATTGTGTACTATCCTGAACAAGAATAAATCACATTTCCTGAAGATTGACATGATGACTTCCATTGTAGGTTACTGGGCAGCAAAACTCTTTCACTTAACCACACAGAACATGAGCATTAGTGGGGATCAGATGAAGATAACCTGTGCAACCTGCAAGTTTGCATGAGTAACTATCCCCAAATTTTCAGAAGCAATTTGTGTAGAAAGAAGAGGAGACAAAGGGCTTTAGTGTAGTTCAGATGGTAGAGTGTTTTGTCTCCCATGCATGCACAAGGCCCTGGGTTCAATACCTGGCACACACACAAAAAAGTACTTATGTGTAACATGCAGTTCTAGCAACCTAATAACAACTGACCTGCTCACCAAGACCCTTGAGTACAACATGCTATGCCTCCAGCTCAACAAGTGTGCTGATCCTCTGGTATCAGGTACTGGATGGCTCTTCAGTTGGTCTTGAACCAGCCCACTTCCTCCCCACCCCCACTTTGTTGCTTATAAATCTCAAGAATACATGTAGAATGTGGACATAGAAGAATGAAAAGCAATCCCATGAGATGACAGGCCAAACTGTCTCTTGGAGAAGTGTGGGAAGGCAAAAGGTAAGAGGCGGCAGAATGGGAAGTGGAAAGAGATGGGGAGACAGCGCACTGACCATGTCCCTCCCTGACTCAGGGGCCAGTACAATGGGATGGAATCTTTAAAGGATTTGTCTTTTGAGGCAGCATCAGAGTAAATGTCCCTGTTCTTATAGGACAATTATTCTCAATAATTCTGAGGAATAATTGAGAATAATATTGGGATAGGGTATTGGAGGAAATTTTTGACAAATCTCAAATCTGGGCAGCAGGTGGAGGGATGGTGTGGACATTATTCATATATGTGAGCTGGTTTTCAATATCCTGGTGTGATCACTGAGCTCAGAGCACTGGAGAATACTATCTCAGAAGATGAGACCCACGTCCAAATCCTGAACGCTACTTGCTCAAACCATGGATTCTGGTTTGTATGCTAACTTCATTCCTGTATATTCAAAGGCAAACTACTAGTAAACAAAAATTGCATTTGGGGATGAGCAACAAGGAATTTGTTGAGGGACTAAATATGCTGTATGATCAGATGATTCATTTAATCCACATTTCAGTAATTTATTAACATGAAAAATAAATCATTAGGTTTGAAATGAGCTAATTACTGAAGAAATAATAATACTTTAATTAGTTTAAGAAATTTGTAAAGTAAATCTCAGAAATTTGAGGATATAATGTTCTTAAAACATGAACACATTCAACCAGAGAAGTGAGACAAACCAGTGGTTCAGAGTAGAATTTAAAGAGACAAACCCACAGAGATTGTTATTTGATCCTGGATAAGTGTACTAAAAAGCATATTGGAGTAAGGACAGCCTTTATAAAAAAAAAATGTGGAAAATCATGATGAGCTATACCACTTTTTGGTATTTACTGTAAAATATTGATGTTTGGATATTATAGTGATACCTGCATGTCCAGGACTATAGCAGCACAATTTAAAATATGGAACTGGCATCAATGTGTATCAGTGGATGAATTAATACAAAAAATGTGGGGTAAATCCACAGTAGAAGCTCATTCAGTCATAAAGAAGGATGAAATTGTTATTTACAGGAGAATGTATGGAACAGGAGAATATATGTGAAGTGAAAAAAGTCTACTCAGAAAGTCAAGGCTCATGTTTTCTCTGGGGTTGAAGTTACAAAGAGGAAAAGAAGGGGGCTGGGGATACAGCTCATTTGGTAGAGTGCCTGCCTTGCATGTCCAAGGCCCTGCGTTTACTTCCCAGCACCAAAAAAAAAAAAAAAAAAGTAAAAGAAATGTATAGAGGGAGATCTTAAGAGAATCTGAGATCAGTAGAAAAAAGGACCAGACACAAGGAGGAGGGAAGGATAAGGAAAAAGAAGCGATGCTGGGAGGGTAATGGCAAAGTTATATTGTTCTACTTTGTGCATGTTTGACTGCCTTATAACATCACAGGATTACGTGTAAGTTTCATGCACTAAGGAGAATACAGGAAGAAATAAAGGGTACATTCCAGCTAATCTGCAATCCCAGTGTCTGAAGTTCTCTGCATCCTATTCCTCCCCTCCTGTTGGAGGCGACCCCAAGGAGGAGTTTCCCTCTCAGGCCAGTGCCAACTGGGAATCACAGCATGCGTGAGAAGGCAAGTAGAAAGTGAAGGTTGCAGGTTCCCTCTGGGGTACCTTCATCCCCAAATTTGGAAACAGTAGCCAGCTCCAGGAGAGTTGCTCCCTATGTGCATATCCTGACCTATGCTGGGTTGTGTTGTTCATCTACTTCCTCTATTAGACTGCGGCAACTCATGGTTGTGCTATTAGCATCCAAGCCTATGTCACAAGCCAGTCCTCATTACATAGGGCACCTGATTGTTTCACAAGAGAAATATTGAGAAAGTGGTGACATAACATGTTAACATTGTTTTAAGTGAAATAAGAAATTACTTTATTCTGAGGCAAATGTGAATGACTGTGGCCTTGGCACACAGATTCATGTTACACTTAAAGATTTGTTCCTCCATTGAAGAGTTTTGATGAACTTCCTTACCCATGGAACAAACATGTCTGTGAATCAGTAGGTTTACCAGATTTTTCCTTAGGGTCCTTATGTAGGCAGGCAAGGAAACCTGCTTATAATTTTCAGAAATAATCTTGTAGAATTTGTAGCTTTAAGATTGATACAGGGAAGAGGTTGGCTAAAATTGGTGATACGTTTTCATAATAATGTAACAGGGATTTTAGATAAGATACAAAGGTTGAAAATAAACAGATTTTAAAGGCTCTAAGATAGCCCAAAATAATTATGGTTCTTGACATGCAATATTCCTCTCCTCAGTCATGAGGGTCTGCTCAATCAAGGCTTTACACTGTGCAGGATCTCCAGTACGTATGCAGCTTCAGAGAAGTTCAGCTTCACAGTGGACCCTTTGGGCTAAGTACCACAGTGTGCATGCAGAGCTTGAAAGGCTCGATCATAGCATTTGATAGAGAGTCTGAGAGAAAAGATCGTAGTCTTCAGGAAAAGGAAATAGTTCTAAAGCCATCAAGGAAGCAATCCCTGCATGATGTTAGTGATACTAGCCATTGTGAGCTCGTTCTCAGCTTTAATCATTTCCATCCTCTGCATCTGACAGCATTTCCCTCCAACATAAAATAGGTCTAATGTATCTTAAAAAGTGCCAATGATCAAGATTATATTGTGAAGAAAATGTGAATGTGTGGTCCAAACCAACCCCCAAATCCTCTCTGTATATCATCATACTTTAATCAGACTGACAATGGTTTTCCCCTGTATGTACAACTACCTGTACTTGATGAATTATTTATTTGATGTTTGGAGTATTTAAAATAATTTATTATCTATTGGTTCTATTTTTTTTCCTGTCCAATTTGAGTCTGCATTCATACAGTCATGTGCAATAGCTAGTTCTAAGAAAGGTTCATCTTTCTTTAATATCCAAATCATTTTAATTCTTATTCACTCTATATGTGTACTTTTTGTAAGATTAGGTTCAAAATCTTTGGGAATCCCATATGACAGTCAACAGAGTAGAAGTGACGGTGAGGTGGTATAAGTCTGAATGTGTCATAGTGCTCCCAAGCATTTTCTGCATCTGATGATAGTATTTATATCATCTAGAATTTTGAATCCACCAATTTGTCCTGTAAATAGTAGTTTGCTTTGGTGATTGGGTTCACGTAGGGTTAGAGCCCATACTTTGGGATGTGTACCACAATGACAAGGAGTAAGGATAGGTTTGTTGCATTGGGAAACAGGTTGAGCTACAAGAAATTAACCATTATACTTATCATATGAAATTTGTCATTATAGTCTCCAGGATAAAACATGCGTACTTCCTTTTTTCCTTTCAATAGGAAGGAAGTTTGTTTGGGCTGGAAAGGTTTCGTGTATGAAATAAAGGCATTTCCAAAGGGGATTTGTTATGGTTTGGATCCATGGTGTGCCCCAAAAGTTTCTGTTAATGCAGGAATATCTAGAGGTGAAATGATTAGATTATGAGAGCTGGGATCTTATCAGTCCATTCTAGTTTGGATGGACTGACTGGGTAGTAAGAGCAGATAGGTGGGACATGGGTAGATATGATGGGTCATTGGGAGCGTGTCCTGGAAGCATTATTCGTCCTGCAGCCACCCCACTTCTTTAATCCACAGTTGGCTCTTACAACCAATTGTGCTGCCTCACCTTGAGCCCAGAGCAAGGCAGTCAGCCATCTAAAAATTAGACCTCTGAAACCAGGAACCCCAAATCAACCTTTCCGCCTTTATGTTGTTTTTGTTGAATATTTTGGTCACAGTGATGCAGAAACTGACCAAAATAGAGTTCCTTTCTCTAGATGTGATTTAGATTTGTGATGTCCCACATAAGCTCACATGTGTGACACTGGAAGTAGGTTTAGAGGTGAAATTATGGGGTGATGAGCATTTTTACCTGATTAGCTCACTAATCCACTTTAATGGATTACCTTGGTGGCAACTTAGGAGGTAGGGTGTGGCTGGTGGAGATAGGTAGCTGGGGATGTGGCTTTGCAGGTTATATTTTGTCCTTGGTGAAGGCAGCCCTCTCTTTCTGCTTCCTGACTGCTATATCCTGAGCTGCTTTTCTTCTCTATGCCCTTCTGACGTGGTGTTCTGCCTCACATTGGGCCCAGAGCAAGGTAGTTAGCTGTCCATGGACTGAGGCCTCTGAAACTATGAGCAGCAAATAAACTATCTGCTCTAAAATTGTTGTCAGATTTTCTAGTCATGGCAGCCAAAAAGCTGATTAAAATAGTAGATTTAAAATGTGGTTTTACCAAGCTAAAACCTGGATTTTTTTCTTTAAATGTAATAATGAGGGAATTATTACCTGGGGTTAATGTAAACTTTGAATCTTTCATAGTTTCAGTTTTTGTCCCAGTAAAGTAGGAGATTTGAGTTAAAAAACAACAACAACAACAACACATTTGTAACAACACATGATTAATGTGTATATAATGTT